TATCTATATATCTATCTATATATCTATATATCTATCTATATATCTATATATCTATCTATCTATCTAATCTATATATCTATCTCTATATCTATCTCTATATCTATCTCTATATCTATCTCTCTATCTCTATATCTATCTATCTCTCTCTCTCTATCTCTCTCTCTCTCTCTCTCTCTCTCTCTCTCTCTCTCTCTCTCTCTCTCTCTCTCTCTCTCTCTATCTATCTGCAATGCTTTGTTTCCAGTCTTTTAAAACCTTGTTATTTTATGAATGATTTGGTTCTCCTGATTTACTGTCATGTTTCTCTCACGAGAGTCATTTTTCCTCCCTCTCCCTAACCTAAACCTCCATAAACGTGTGATGTTTTTCCCAAGGTGTAACATTTCTTTCAAGCCACAGCTAATTTTAGTTTTCTCTTGCCTTTCACAAAGCTCCGGGAAGCATCGCTCAAAGGCAGATGGGTTGACATTTGCCCTCTGGGCAGGGGGTCCAAGGGCCTTGTGTAACAGCCGGACTTTTATCCTCCTTTCGTTATAAACACTGAAAGATGATTAGACCTGCAGGAGGTCACGAGAACCGCCTTTCCTTTTGATTCCTGTGATTTCCAAACAAACGTGGTTAAAAAAACGCTTGTGGGCGGCTGCTCCAAGGAATATCCTGTAATTTGGGATTTCCTTTCCTCGGCTTCAACCGGTGGGAGCCCCTGCCTGAGCTGGGCTGGAGCAGGCTCTGATATTTGACTTCTGGAAGGGTAGACTGGACGGAAATGTAAAATCATCAAAATGGTTTTATTTGTACTAAAAATTTAACTCTGGTTTCCACATTCTTCGCATAAGGATGTGTTTGTAGAGGGGGAAAAAAACTTTTAATAAAGTCCTCTAGGAAAAATGAAAAATCAAGAGAATGTTCATCCTCTTTTAATCCCTTGTGGGGTGGAGTCTGGGCAACTGAATGGGGCAAGCAGAGTATTTATTGGCCGGATGCTTTTCCTGTTGCCAGAGTGGAGTTTTGTTCAGCAGATATATTCTCAGTGTGCCCAGCGAGAGAAATAGCTGCCGCTACCTAGGATCGAACCCACAACCTCCTGATGGTGAGGCCGAGGCCATCACACCACTCGGCTAAGAGAACCGTCGGGATCTCTCCATGAAACGCAACAAATGGAGGTCTATAAACACCCCCACCCCCCCCACCCCGCTTCCAAAATCCAGGGTCTAAGCTCCAGTGTCCAGCGAGGAGGGGGCCGATGGGATAATTGTCCTATTGGCACCCTGACTCTCCAAGGAACCAGAAGGTCTCCATGGAGCTTAATGGTGGACGTTGATGAGTCCACCGACTTTCCCTTATCTAGCTGTTGCTTTCCAGAGGAACAAGACAGCATCACATTTAGTCCTTGACTTACAACCAATCAGCAATTCTATTGAAAAATGTCCCTTATGGTTGGTCCCCAAACTTAGAAACTCTTGCAGTGTCCCCAGGGCGACACCATCAACATTTGGGCGTTTAGCAACCAGCCGTTCTTTAGAATGGTTGGAGGGGTGCGGTGGCCTGGGGGGGGGGGGGAGCTCTCGCCTCACCATCAGGAGGCTGGGAGTTTGATCCTAGGTAGAGGGAGATATTTCTCTCTCTGGGCCCACCCTATCAGGTTTCTGAAAGACGCACTAATTGATTCATGAGCCTCGACCCAAGTTTCAAAAGAAAACCAGTCATTTATTAGGAACATCATTTCAAGCAATACTCCATTGCAATCAGATCTAAACCTCATTTGAATTGTGGCCGAACTTTATCCCTGTTCCTTCCATTCCTTCAGTCTGTGTCATCAATCACATTCTCCAACGAGCTGCACACCTCCCAAGCCGCCTGAAGTAATCTGAGATCCGACTCTAGCCGAAGGTACGCGTGGCATGCGTTCCCCCACTTTCCTCACCGTTGCAACTTGATAACGGGCATGCCAATGCTTTATGAGTTGGCATTGAGACTGTTATCTGCTGAACAAAACTCTGCATTGGCAACAGGAAGGGCATCCGGCCAGTAAACACTCTTGCTAGCTCCATTCAGTTGCTTAGACTCCAGGGATTATGAGGTTGTTAAACAATTATGTATTTAGGATGGTTGCAGTGTGCCCGGGTTCAAGCAAAACCAAGGGGGAAGGAAAGCCTGGCTCACTTAACGACATGATTCACTTAACAACTGCAGTGATTCGTTAAACAACCACGGCAAAAAGGGTCTGAAAATTGGCTGACTTTCCCATCGCCTTATTAGCAAGAGAATTTTTTTGGTTCCCGTTGTGCCGTACGGAAGTTTTTCCGTAGGAAAAGCTCTTGGGAAAAGTGGGAATTCAGCCAGCAGTTCAGTCCCCGGGGCCACCCGGGGCCAGGCTGGAAAACAGGCATTTCTTCCCACAAGGGTCGCATCTTTTCCTTCAGCCTCACCCGAGTGTCCGTTGGCTGGCCTCACCTGGATTCCCCAAGCCAAGAGGAGCCCTGAACCCCCCCAGGGCATCGGGACGAAGTGCAGTGGGAAAGGCCAACTCTGCTAGCTTGATCAAACTGTGTTTGTTGATTAGAGTTTTATCTTAGCTTGAAGCCCTTCAGGATAATCACATTTCACAAGAGTTTGTTTTCTAGGTGACACTGACTCTTCTCCCTCTGCTTTTTCTTTCTCTCTCTCCCTCCCTCCTTCCTTCTCGTTTTCTCCCCCTCCCTCCCTCCCTGCAGGTCACTTTAATCAGCGCTTTCGTCTTTCCTCACCTACCTCCAAAACCAGTGAATATATTTTTCGCTTTCTGCATCTCCTTGAGTTGCGTCTCGGCTGGCATCCTTGTAAGTGTCGCTGGGTTTACTTTTGTGGCGATGGAGGAGATCTTGCTCCGATTAGGGGGAACAATGGTGCACGTACAAATATTGCAAGGCCCAACGTCAACAAGGACTTCGGTCCACAAAAGTTTGCCTTCGTTATTGGCACTAACTGTGGTCGCCCAGCATGGGCCCCAAACCAGGTTTTAGACTAGTAACACTAGTAGCGGCAGCTGGGCCTAGTGGGAGGATAAGAGCCCCAAACGTCCTTCCTTCCTTCCCACAGGGTGGAAATAATGAAAGAGAGCCGTGATGGGGAACTGATGGCACACACGTGCCCGAAGTGGCCCACAGAGCCTTGCCCGTTGCTCTTCCGGGTTTCTGGTGTGCGCACGATGGTCCAGCTGGCCTTCACGCACGCAGCAGTGGTGGGAAATGGAAGAGCTGCTCTTCCGGCTTCTGTATGTGCACCGCCCAGCTAATCGCCGCATGCATATGCGTGCCAGAAACCGGAGGAGTAGCTTCCTGGTGTGCATGCAACCGGGCATTCTAGTTTCCGGCACACACATGTGCACCGGGTAGCTCCTCTTCTGGGTCGAGTCTCTGATGAGCATGTGCACATATGCTCCCTTTCTGGCCCTCCGTGAAATAACCTCACTGAAATAAGGGGGGGATTTGCAACCGGACTTTTAACTGGGTTTTGATTCTCCCTTGGCCGGTCTCTCTGCTGGACCAGCCTGGCCACCGTCCCACAGGGACCTTCACCAGCCAAGGGAAGGGCCCACGGCAGAGCAGATGCTGCCCACAAGGGTTGTGATTGTGGAAAGGCGACAACCCCCCCCCCCTTTGGGGGGTCTTTGATATCACAGCCCTGCAGCGTCTCCTTAAAAGCAAAGCCTCCACGGGGTTCAGTTCCCATCGCCACGTAGCTCCGGTCGGCCTGCAACCGTTCTCCGCCTTGGAGGAGACCCTCAAACGTTCAAGTGTCCCAGAGGCAGCCAAGGGTTCTTCTAGGACTGGGATGGTGAACCTGTGGGCACGCGAGCCGTCGACCCAGCTTAGCTCCACCGCGCATATCGCCCACCTCCTGCCAGCCCACTGATTTTTGGGGTCTCTGCTGTGCATGCACGGGAGGCGGGGTTCATGTGGGAGATGCGCGTGCATGCGTAGAGGGGCCAGGAGAGTCATGTATGCGTGCACACACACGGAGGAGGGGGGTGGTTGGTGTGGCGCAATCCCCCATGGCCTGTTTTAGCTGCAGGGAGGCGTTCTAGGCCCCCAAACGGGGCACAGGGGCCAGGACGCACGAGGCTGTGTGTCTCACACACACATTTCATTAAGGGCGCAACGATGACAAAAAGCTTAGCCATCCTTGTTCGAAGACGATGACGGCGTCCGCTGCCTCTTTAACGTTTTGTGCCCCCTCCCTTCTCTCCCCCCCCCCGCTGCAGATCTATTGGTATCGACAAGGAGACCTGGAGCCTAAATTTAGGAACCTCATCTACTACATCGTGTTCTCCATCGTCATGCTCTGTATATGTGCCAACCTCTACTTCCATGAAGTGGGGAAATGACAAAGGTTGCAACACACGTCCAGGTGTGCGCAGCAGGTAGCTTTTTCCAGCCGTGTTTTTGGAAAGGACCAGGAGGGCTTCCCAAAAAACACACACCGAGACCCCACCGGCACCGAGGTCGAAAGGGAGAGCCCCCCCGGAGGATGGTGTTTGCGCAGGCGTGTTTTAACGGTCCTTCCTTCCTTCCTGCCGGTGAGGAGTAGTGCAATACGACAGGAGCATCTGCTTTAGGGGGGGGGGGGGCGAGGCACAGAATCCGTTATTAGTGCACTTAATGAACATTCCAGTTGTACAACGCTTGTGTTTTTCAGAGTGGCACATCCTTTCCCCCCCCATTGGGTGTGTGTGTGGGGGGAAAAACTGGCCTTTTTTATTACATGTACAAAAAAAAACACCCCCCGCAGCACTGCAAATGTCTATACTACATTATAAATAAAAAGGCATTTACTATGACAGAAGAGAGAGAGAGTTTCTCGCTTGCGTTAAGCTGCTTAATTTCCTCTTGTTCCCACGGCCGCTGACCCGCCGCGTTGACTACAAATTTTGTCGTACGCGGACGAAGCTGCGGACCGAACGCAGATTGAACCTCGGAGGAAGCTTGATAATTACAGAAGTCAATACTGATTTGGATCGGTTTTAACCCCACAGCCTTTGTAAGTAGGGAAGAGTCGGGTTGCCTCGCCAAGTGGCCGCCGAATTTCAGCTTCGTGTTTTGGGGTGCGGAGCCTTTCCCGTGAAGACGGGACGTGTGGAGCCGCCGTCCCTCACCGAAGCTGGTTCCAATGGAACGTCTCATCCAAGCTGGCTTCCTTTGGGCTTCTGCCGCTGATTTTTGAATCGATACCAGTTGCGTTTAAAACGGACTCCTAAATTTATCACCGCTTGAGAGTCTCCGTGCTCCTCCACTTGTTTTTTTTTAGCTGTGGTAGTTTAAGAATTACGTCCGATCCTCCGGTGCGACATCCGTTGCCAGCAACAGATTCTTCACTTTCAAGGAAAATCTCGATCCGGCTTTTCGGCTGCTTGAACAGCCTCTGGAACCCCTCGTAAAATAAATCTTTTTCTCGTCACGTCCCTTCTTGCTCCCGCGGTGTTTGCAACGCTGAAACTATATTCTCATCCCGAAGCAGGAGGACCGGTGCGGATTCTAAACGGTGCCACCTCAATTCCGCTTGTTTACTGCCGGGTTAGTGGCCTGGAGCATTGGATCTCCTCCCTGTCCATCCCAAGCCACCTTGAATGCAGGAACTTTGGGCTGGAGATGGCGGTCTCCGCTTGAGATCAGGAGAGAGCCCCAAGGTGCCTCTGGGTCACCCCGGCCAGGTTGACCCCTCCTCCTTTGACCAACGCAGGAGATAACGGACCAGGGAGGTCCTCCTCAGTGGCAGCTGACCAAGTTCTCCATGCCCTTGGAGTCTTCGGAACTCGGGCTGTCCAAAGAAGAGCCGATGAGGTGAGAATTCTCTCCATGGTGTTGTAAGATGGGATCTAGGAAGAGGAAAGATAACAACGGGTTGTTACGCAGGCGGTTTCCTCTTGTGCTGCCAAACTCACGAGTGGTAAGTTCCGGATCCCGCTGCGATGGGGCTGGGCATCCACCACGTGCACTGGGCATGCGTGCGCGCTCCAGATGCTTGGCGGAGGCTGCGCAGGCGCCATATGCTGCGTGCGCGTGCACAAATGGCCCGATTGGGTCACATACAAGTACGGAACGCGGGTGGGCGGGCCCTCCAAAGCAGCATTCCGGTATGGTGCCTGCTGGGAGCATCAGGCATCGGTACGCCTGTACCGGGATGTACCGGCGAGAACCCACCACTGTAACACACACATGCGACCTAGAACATTTTTGAAGGCCTCCTGCCTTCACCTAAAAGAGGCAAGGGAGGGGAGGGAACCGGGGCGGGGGGCAGGGGGGGGGGAAATGCTGTTCGGAATAGAAAAACTCTTGTTTGGACTTCAGAGGAAACCTGAGGATCTTTGCCAGAAGCTGAAAAACTTCAGCAGTGTCCTTGCAAGGTTCAAATGTTCCCCTTCACCAAAAGTTCAGTACAGGTAGTCCTCGACTTACAACGGTTCATTTAGTGACATCAAAGCAGCTCTGGAAAAGCGACTTAGGAAAAGCGACCATTTCCCACACTTAACGACTGTTGTGCCATCCCCCCTGGGTCAACGTGATTTGCATTCCGGACAACTGACTCGGCTTTGTGACGGTTGCCGTATCCCGGGGGTCGTGTGGATCCCCCTTTGGCGACCTCCTCCTGACGAGCAGAGTCCACGGGGGAAAACCAGTTTCGCTTAACGGCCAGGTTACTCACTCAACGACCGCGCCGATTCGCTTAACAAACTTGTCAGTGAGAAAGGCCACAAAATGGGGCAAAATTCCCTGAACAAATTTCCTGCTTAGTGACAGAACCTCTGGCCCAGCGACGGTCCTAAGTCGAGAACTACCTGTAGTAGTTTCTATCCTGACGGGCTTTGAAATACAACCACAATCGCTCCATTCACGTGGAAACGCAGGGCTGGTTTTTCCTCTCTTCCTTTTTTCCTTTTCCACCATAATTCGCACCAGTGAGGCTGAAAACCAACTTGGTTGTGTTTATTTTGTAGCACGGCAATAAAGACTGTACTATTTAGTGCAGTGTTTCTCAACCTTGTCAACTTGAAGATGTCCGGACTTCAACTCCCAGAATTCCCCAGCAGTGGTTAGGA